TCAACTGATGAATGAATAGCCCATAGCATCTGACTGTTCAGGGAGGAGTTGGTGGAGCACCAAGCTGTAGGAAATAGGCTCTCAACCACAATTGAGCAAGCCAAAGAGACCCACTACCAGTGGGAGACGCGTCACTCTTTAACTAAAATTAGAGAGAAGTCATGCCTTATAAAATGCGACTAAAAAGAATGAACACAAATTCAAAGACCTGCCACATCGTAATTCATGCGATAGTGGTAGATAACTCATAGAGGGTTTCAGGCTGGGGACATAAAGAACGTATTTATAGAGCCAGACCTGAAGGAAGGCTACACGCTCAGCATGAGTAGGTTCAGAATTGGAAGCAGTATAAAAGCCTTGCATGCTCGAGTAAGATTCAACAACTTTCTTGTCAAACTTCGGGGCAACACTGGAAATCAAAATGCTAGGAAAAATGGTATCGTCCGAGGGTGGAAGATTCATTAGGGCTCCAACATCCCTTAGAGTAATTGACATTGGACCAAGAGGGAAAACAAAAGTATTATACTCAGAAAACCAGAAACTTAGGGCGATTGGAAAAAACACTAGGTCATAAGTTGGGGGAAAAATGGTAATTTCTAATGGGTCCAAAATCCTAACACGATCAAAATTTGCTTTGGTGGGACCATGATTTACCATACGTGCATGCTTTCTACGAAAACTAGGATCAGTTTTTTTGCCAAGTGTGAATACATTTATTGCGGATTGGCTTCAATGGCAAGAGTTCAGAAAAGGAGGGTCTTCAGTGCAAGGGAATAGTTGACCCACCACCGCTCGTCCGATAGCTTCGGCATCATTGAATGAAGGGCCTAGATAGAATTCATTGAGGTCAGCATTGGCTTGTACAAGGAAATTTGAATTTATATACGGTCTAAGAAAGAGGTTTTGGAAGTCCTCAAAACTGAAAGAATCATTAGAATGAGTTCGTGAAGTCGCCATTGGATGCAGAAACAGACGTTGTGAAGGGTTCTTGAGAAGCGTAATGAGGAAGCAAGACAATGGACAGTGGCTTTTATAAAATGCACGATGTAAAGACGTGAAGGTAATGGCGCGAGGAAGTGGCGTGTCTTTTGGGTTTATGGGGATTTGTAACGTTACACCTTTTCAGATTATAGAAGGTTTACAACCAAACGGAAATAATGATTGAAATTCTTGGGAATTTCAAATATTGTCGAAAAATACAAAGAAGGAAAATAACAAAGATTAATAATTGGTATTAATTCCGCCATATTGGGGGGT